TCTTCTTTTTACTTCTGGTTGAGCTCTGATCATCCAGTCACTGAAGCCAGGATAAGTGGGTATTATCTGCAAATGTGGGTGTTCTTATGCATATGCCCTCTCTTCTTATTAGCTGGACGCTTCACTCTCCACTTTAGTCCTCTGTGGCTATGTCACTGACTCTGGGCCCAAGAGTCCCCAGGTCTTGCCACACTCAGTACCCTGGCTTCTAAGGAGCATTCTGGCTGTCCTTCTTCCAAGACAGACTTACTCACTCTTCTGGCCGTCAATGGTGTATATTTAATATTCTTTGAGGTACAACCTATGGGCTGGATGTTACTCTCATTCTCATTTTTACAGATGAGGAAACTGACTTGCAAAGTGGACTTAGTCATTGGCTCCAAATTCCAGGTTGTAAGCCAGGGAGTTAAGAGCCAGAGGAAGGTGTATTGAAAAGCTAAGCAGACAAATAAGGAGGCTTTTCAGTGGAGGAAACATTTGTAATGAGTCTTAAGTAAGGGTGGGTTTGGCAGCAGGGGCAAGGTCAAGAGTGAGCTTAGCATGTCTATTTGTGCACTGGCTGTTCTTTCGGGCCCAGAAGGAAGCAGAGAGAAAACACTAAGGGTGGGTAAGCGCCTTTATGAATTCATGCTGTGAGCACACGTGCCTCTAAGTCTCCCCCTGCAGTGACACATCAACTCCTCAACAGCCTTATCTGGAGACCACTGTTGTTCAAGTCCCATTTTACAGGTGGGCAAGCTGAGGTCCAGAAAGGTCGAGTCACTGAGCTTCCACAGCTGAGTGGTGGAGCCCAGGCCAGGGGAGGCTAAGGAAGTGAGCAGAGCGGGGAATTGGAGTCCCACTTTCCTTTCTAGACAGCATTTGATCAATTCTGTTTGAATTGAGCTGTGGACCTTCCCTGTCTTGTTCATTGTGGGTGCCCAGAGTTTTGTCAGGGTGTGGCTCCTAGTGGACACACACACACTCACACCCCATAGACTCACATAAGCTGATGGCAGTTCCAAGAGTGCCCAGGGAATGGGCCATATCCCCTGCTCCTGCTTCTAGCTCCTTCCAGCTGACAGCCTCTATCAAGAAACAGATGTTCCTGCCCCCATCTCTACAGTGGCTGTGCCCATCCTTGTCTGACCTGTGGGGGGCAGGATGACATCAAGGCAGGTGTAAGTCAACCAGTGTACCTGTTGGATTGTAGCTCCTCATCCTGAAGTACTCTGAGGGGAATAGACCCCTCAGCCCATGTGTGTCAGAGTAGAGCTGTAGATTTTCAATGTCTGATTTTTCAGCAGTAGATTACCAGGCCTTGCTTTCACGGCACCTCAGTATAGACTTGAGCTTCTAAACTTTCAGTTAGTAGCCAAGCGTATTAACTGTTTGCACCACCTTGGGCTCCACTAGGTGAGGACGCTAGGTGAGTGACTCATCATCCTCACATAGGCAGTGGGGTTAGATTCACCAGTCAGCACGTACACACCAACGTCATTAGGTTTACGTCTTTGATGTGACAAGGAGTCCTAGTGGTACAATGATTAAGCGCTCAGCTGCTAACGGATAGGTCAGCGGTTCGAACCCACCAGCCTCTCATCCGGTGAACGATGTCTGTAAAGATGGCTGCCTTGGAAACCCTATTCTGTTCTATAGGGTCACTGTAAGTTGGCATAGACCAGACAGCCGTAGGTTTGGTTTGGGGCTTTTGGTTGATGTGGTGGCGACAAGTGCAGATTGGTGGGAAGACACAATTGAGCTGGTGTGTAGTTTGCTCGTTGGGTCACTAGGGCCTGGGTGATAGTTCTTAAACACCATCAGCCTGTACGCTTAGGGCCTGGGATGTGAGACTGGCCGGTGAGCTCCAGATGCAATCCCTACCTCTCTCTCATCCAGGTGGTAGCCTCGCGGGTCCTCTTTGTTCCCAAACTCCAGGTCTGACATATTTGCTCTCTTCCCCCAGGACTGGTCCTGGTCGCTCATCGTGGCCTCGCTGGTGGGCGCCTTCGGTTCATCCTTCCTCTATGGCTACAACCTGTCAGTGGTGAACGCCCCTATGCCGGTGAGTGCCCCGCACTGCGGGATCCGTCCAGCAGAGGGCGCTGCGGTCACGCGCACGACTTCGGATTCCTGCCCGGCCGCCTGTGCCATATTGTTGTTGTTGTCGTTTGCTGTCGAGTCGATTCCGACATAGCCAAGAAAACTCTGTGGAGCAGTTCTACGCAGGGTCACCATGCATCGGAATTTATTTGTTGGCAATGGCTTGGAAATTTTTGTTACTGCTGGGTGGATTCAAACCACCAACCCTTAGGTTAGTTGTTGTTAAGTGCCATCGAGTCGGTTCCGACCCATAGCGACCCTGTACAGGGTTTCTGAGGCTGTAAATCTTTACGGGAGCAGAAAGCCTCATCTTTCTCCCGCGGAACAACTGGTAGTTTCGAACTGCTGACCTTGTGGTTCACAGCCCAATTCGTAACCACTATACTGCGTAATGGTTACAAGTCGGGCTGCTAACCTCAAGGTCAGCAGCTTGAAACTACCAGCCGCTCTGCAGGACAAAGATGAGGCCTTCTGTTCCCATAAAGATTTACAGCCTCAGAAACTCTATGCAGTGTTGCTGAGTCAGAACCAACTCCATGACATATAACCACCAAATACCATATGGTCCAAGGGCCTGACATTCCCCACCCCTGGTTTAGAGGGGCAGCAGAAAAGAGGCAGACCCTCAAGATGGATTGATGCAATGACAGCAACAACAGGTTCAAACACAGCAATGGTTGTGAGCATGGTGCAGGACTGGACAGTGTTTCATTCTATTGTACTTGGGTTACTGTGGTAAAAACTGACTCCATGGCACCTAACCACAACAGCAGGACACTGGTTCAGTGAGTGGCAGCTTCTGCTTTGAAAAAAAGACTTCCTGGGCTGAACATTGAAGGTTGAACAGACAGTTGGTAGCTCACTATGTCCCATGTGCAAGGAGGTTGGGAAATGTGTCCACATGGCTGGGACACAGGGTGTGTTTGCGGGCAGGGAGCTAACACACCAGACGGGAATCATAGTGTGACTAGTACTGGCTGCTGCTCAGACTTTTCCTTGCTAGGGGTCCAGCATCCCTGTGAGCAAAATGCAGGGGAAGGCTGGGACAAGGAACCTTGGAAACTTGCAGATGTGTTTTAGCATCTGGACTCTATCTATGCCAGGGTAACCCAAATGTTCTTCTTTGGACTTTTTGGCATTTTGGAGTTTCTATGTAAGTTCATTCAAAAAACTAGTTCTGATACTCCAAATGGTTTGAACACCAGGGGCCTGGATGACTTTGACAACCTCTTGAAGCATCAGTACTCTGATTTTGACATGATGAGCATCTCTCTGGTTCATGATGATGATGGTGGTGGTGGTGGTGGTGGTGGTGTGCTGTTGAGTTGGTTCCACCTCACAGCAACCCTGTATAGGGTATCTGAGGTTATAAATCTTATGGGAGCAGAAAGCCTCATCTTTTCCCATGGAGTTGCTGGTAGATTCAAATAGCTGATCTTGCATTTAGCAGCCCATCTTGTAACCCATTCTGCTGCCAGGGCTCTTTGCCTGGTCCATATTGGACTTTATAAGAAGACCAGGAATTGGGAATCTTGCTCCCTCCTAGGAGTTGAGCACCCAGAAGAGAAGCTAGAGAGCATGTGCACTGATATCTTGTGGATAACTTGAACTTGGAACAAAATAATGATGGGTAGAGTCATACATGTTCAACCAACCAATTGTAGAAAGATGAGGAAGGTACCCGTCTGTTGTTCATTGAACACATTCTTTTATTCAGTGAGTATCTACCGAATGCCTACCATGTGTCCAGCACTGAGACTCAGGGATATGAACCTGGAGGAGGTGGCATTTGGGCTGAGCTATGGAAGAGGATGGGCAGGGTTTCCACAGGTGAAATAGGAAGAGGCAGGGAGTGTCCACACATCCAATTTTCTGGTGATGTCAAAATGGTGGTTTGTTGGAAATGGTTACTAGAAGTGTGTTGTGCTGGTACACAGGAGACATGTTATTGTTTGTTGCCATGGATTCAGTTCTGATTCATGGCAACCCCATGTACAATAGAAAGAAGCAATGCCTTGTCTCACACCAGCTTCACAATCATTAGTATCTTGGATTCCATTGTTGTGACTTCTGTATATGTCAAATGCCTTCCAACATGGCGGCACATCTCCCAGCACTATATTGGACAATCAGCCATAGGGTTCTCATTGGCTGCTTTTTTGGAAGTCAATCACCAGGCCTTTCTTCCTGGTCTTTCTTAGTCTGGAAACCTGTCGAACTTGGGTGCTCTTGCTGGTATTTGAAATACCGATAGCCTGGCTTCCAGCATCACAGAAACACGAAGGCTGCCAGGGTACAACACACTGACAGACAGGTGGTGATCAGGGGACACAGGGAAATGGAATGGAGGAAGAGGTGCGGAAACAGAGTAGATTGAGAAGAAGAGGGTTCAACTCTTGGACTGAGCAAGGGAATTCTAGTCTGTAGGCACTGGGGAGCCAGTGAAGGTTCATGAGGGGTGAGTGGTAAACTCACTGCCTGTTACAAAGGCAATTTTGGTGTCAGTGGGAAAGACAGGAAGGGTTGGAGCTTGGAAGAAGGAAGATTGTGAATGGCAGAGACCATGAGGAGGTGAGTGTAGAGAGCTTAGCATAACATCCTTTCATTTTGGGAGAGGAAGGATTTCTGAAGACTTAGACAGATCTGGTGTGGGTTGATGTGCTGGGCTGAAAAATCAGCTTGAACCACAAAGTTGGGAGTTCAAGCTTATAAGCCACTCCTCGGAAACCCTATACAGGGTCACTATGGGTCGGAATCAACTCAATGGCACTTAACAACAACAATAACAACACAGGTCCTCTACTTTTTTAGTACTGTACCTGGGGAAATGGTTCCTTATTACTGACTGCTGATGTAGCCAATCTTCGAGACAGGACTCAGAGCAAAGAACAAAGTGTTCCTAGAGTGTCAATATTTATGAGGACAAGGGAACGGAAATCTCCCAGATCTGTCTTCCTGAGGGAAAAGGGGAGGGAGAATTTACAGGGATCTTGGTCATGCGTAGGAGTCTGGGGAATCTCAGAAGCTGTGGCTTTGTTTATTGCACGCTGACTGTTGTGGACACATTGTCTCTAACAGGTACCATTAAACTTTCCCAGCCTGGTTATCAGTAGCCTTCACAAGAAATGTGTAGCTGTTTTTCTCATTTCCTAGGATACTCTTTGGAGTGGGGATTCTTGTTATTGTTGTTGTTAAGTGCCGTCAAGTCAATTCTGACCCATACCGACCCTGTATAGGGTTTCCAAGGAGCAACTGGTGAGCTTGAACCACCGACCTTACAGTTCAAACGACTTTGCAGTCTGACGCATTAGCCCACAGCATCACACCAGGACTCTTAGGTGTCATTAAATTGGTTCTGATTTAGCTATGAATTAAAAAGAAGAAAAGATTAATCTCTGAAAAGGAAATTTCCTATGGGATAGTAATTGATTCTACCACTCGTTTGATGGTTTGTCGTACTGTGGTGGCTCACGTGTTTCTGGGATTCTGGAAGTTATGGCACCAGTATTTTAAATACTAGCAGGGTCACCCATGGTGGACAGGTTTCAGATGAGCTCCCAGACTCAGCTGACAGACTAGGAATATGGAGAGGTGGACCGTTTCTGAAAACCTTATGGATAGTAGCAGAATACTGTCAGATGTAGCGCCAGAAGATCAACCCTTCAGGCTGGAAGGGACTCAAAATACGATTGGGGAAAAGCTGCCTTCTCAAACTGACCACAAGGCCATGAATTAAGCAAAACTTTCAGGACCTTCATTTAATAATGGGATACAACTCAAAACGAGGAGGAACAGCTGCAAATATCCATTACTAATTCAAACATGAAATGTGTGAAGTACAAAGCAGGGAAAATTGTCAAAATAAAATGGGACTCATATAGATTTCCTAGGCATTATTGAACTGAAATTGAATTTTATTGGCCATTTTGTAGCTGACAATCTTGTGGTCCTTGATTTCCATCAATAAGTATTTTAAGTCCTTTTTCTTCACTTCCAGCAAGTGAGGTTGTATCATCTGCATATTGAAGTTGGTAATGAGTCTCCCTCCAATTTTGATGCTGTGTTCTTCTACATATAATCTAGCTTCTCAGATTATTTGCTCAGCTACAGACTGAATAAGTATGGAAAAAGGATACAACCCTGGCACACATTTTCCCCGATTTTAAACCATTCAGTATTCCCTTGTTCTGTGTGAACAGCTGCCTCATGGTCTATGTGCAGATTCTTCATGAGCACAGTCAAGTACCCATTCTTGACAATGTTGCCCATAGCTTGCCATGATCCACACTGTTGAAAGCTTTTGCATAGTCAATAAAGCACAAATAAACATCTTTCTGATATCTTTTGCCTTTATCCAAGACCCATCTGACATCAGCAATGATATCCCTCATTTCACATCCTCTTCTGAATTCAATTTACTATGCTGGAAACGAGAAATTGAAGAGAAATGGCATTGCATTCATCATCAAAAAGAACACTTCAAGATCTATCTTGAAGTACGATGCTGTCTATTATAGGATAATATCCATACACCTACAAGGAAGACCAGATACTACCATTATAATTCACATTTATGCACCAACCACTAAAGTCACTGTCTTGTATCTCAATGTAAAGAAAACAAAAAATCCTCACAAATGGAACAATAAGTAACATCATGATAAATAGAGAAAAGATTGTAGTTGGCAAAGACATCAATTTGCTCAAATCTGCAATCAGTGCTCAGTGAAGCAGCAGCCATGAAATAAAAAAATATATTGCATTAGGTAAATCTGCAAAAATAACAACAACAAAAAAAACCTCTTTAAAGTGTCAAAGAATAAAGATGTTAGTGTGAGGACTAAGGTGCACCTCACACAAGTCATGTTATTTTCAATTGCCTTATATGCATGCAAAAGTTGTACAATGAATAAAGAAGACTGTAGAAGAATCTATATGCATCATTTGAATTTGGTTTTGGCA